ATTTTGCCATCATGCAACTAATTTTTAGTCCGCTAAAAAATAAACACTTTTGACTTTATTAAGATTTAAATTGATTTATTAATATCGAAATTTTTAAAATCTAGTAAAACGATAACTGCGTGCTATATGACATACATTTTTTTAAATTGGCCCAAGTTCAATTTCTGTTTTAAGTATTACAAAGATCATAAATATCTAACATAGTTTACTACAATTAGAATGATCTTGTAATAGTTTTATGGCTTACCGTTCAATAATTGACTATTGATTTTACAGATGACAAGAATATTTTTGGTGAACTTCTCCCTGGAGGAGAGGTCTATTGGAAAAAGGAGAGAAAGCGAACTTCACTTGGAAGCGAGATGGGCAGCCCTTCGATCCTGAAGAAGATTTAAAGTAAGCTTGTCATACTGAAGCGGCTATAACCAATCCTTTTTCAGAGCAAAGATGTAGTACAGTCGTATTTTTTGCTAAGTATTTTTTCTACATGTAAGTACACACATTAAGGGTAATGAAAGTTACTGTCAAAAAAACAGAACATAATAATAAATAAACCTAAATAAACTTAAAAATCGTCCAATACTTTTAAATATTAGATATCACAATGCCTAGTCGTTGTGTCTGTTCTAGTGGATTCTCCAATCACAAGACGAAGATATGCGTATGCGCACCCTGGCTTCTTTGGATTTCTGTAGTTTCAGTACCGTTTATCCATGTGAGACATTCGCAAGACAGGTTGGCGTCAAAATAATATTTTTGTGTGAAAATATTTAACTCATTTCTTAACATGATGGTAGTCAAAACAAATAAAAATAATAGTTTTTAAAATGTAGTTGTTGATTAAGTATTCCTCTTGCTATAGGTACTGTTGGGCGACGACGAAGATTCCCTGGCCTTGGTATTCCAGCACGTGAAACCAGAAGACGCAGGCATCTATACTTGCGTCGCCAAAACCAGTACTGGCAACATCTCCTGTTCTGCTGAACTTACTGTGCAAGGTAGCCTAATGATGAATTTTCTTCTTCGTTCTACTAATGTACCCCAAACTTTAGCACCTTTTAGGCGTTACGGTTGCATGTTCACCAGCTCCCACAAGAAACGACAACATCAGCTTTTTTTATAATTCAAAATGTAGATTAGATCACGACCAGAAAAATAAATGAGAGAAGGAGAATGAATGCAAAGAGAAAATGAAGTTGAATGAGACTACGTCTTCTAATAATAATTCATAATTTTTGTGATTTTTTACTAACTTTTGGAATCTTACTTAGTGGAACTAAATAAATAAAAAGTTTTAAGTTTTCGAAAACGCCTGCATTTTGTGTTTGACCAAGATAATTGTCATACTCGTAGATGCTTGTGACACGACCACCACCGAGTTTACGGCTAAGAGAATAAAATTGGGTATATTTTTCTCGCGTTCGATATATGTAAATGATTGCTTATTTTGCGTTTTTGTGCGGCTAGCACTACCTTAAAAAAGGGTAGCGTTTATATACATAATAAAACTGAATAGTTCCCTTTATTTAATGCTGAATTTAAAAAAAAAAACAATTCCCCAAAAATTGAACATATTAAAATTTAGAACTGACCACCATACTTGCATAAAAACGGTCAGGCTATAATAAAATATTGTTGGGAATTTTTGGAATAAGGTTTTCAGAAAGGGATTTATAATGTCGTTGTATAAATGTCTTATATTAGATTTATCTATAAGGTTAAATTAAGAGGGCTTTAAAAAGCAAAAATTCCCAAATCTTTTTTGTTTTTTACATAAAAAATTCCGGACCAATTTTTTAAAAAAAAAAATGTGGGGAAAACTACATGATATTTCCGGGGGTTCCTGATAAAAAAACATGAAAAAAAAAATTTCTCATAGAAAAAATCACAAGTAACCTCTAATTCCAATTTTTTTTCCTTTTTGTACTCGTTTGGTAATGCTATTGCAAAAAAAATTTGAAATTAATTATACTTTTACAAGAGTAAAGGCTTTGTTTAGGCATTTATGAATCCTTTTGTTTTGGTTTATTTGGATAAAACATTTTGGCGCAAAATACGTTTTTTTTCCGCACAAAAATTCATCGTCCGTCGCACGTTGGGGGGAGCTTCAACTTTTTTCTATTTCAACATCAGTCGCTACGCTCCTTTGAACGGAGGCTGCGCTCAAGTTTTAGGCGCGCCGAGTTATTATAAATTCAATTATTAGATTATTGGGATAGGAGGTAAAAAATTGATAAATAATAGGTAGCTTTTACTTTTGCTTTTTGTTATATTATTTTCAAAATAAAAAATTTGATCATTTCGCGTAGTGTAAATTAGATATCTTCCAAAAAGCCCTAGATGCGTAGGATACAAAATGATCTTGCGAGTATTCTTAAAAATATTAAATAATAAAATTACATTCTCCAAAAGTCTATGATCACCAAAAGTAACGCGGGCGTAAGTTTGGTATAGTATTGCAAAAAAAAACACGCTTTAGTTGGGGTCTTTTTTGTTCGATGAAATATTTTTTGTCATTTCGAACTATTTAAGTATGTCCTTAGGTATTTTAAAACTTTTTTTAACCGACTTCCCAAAAGAAGGAGTTATAAATTCGATATTATTTTTTTTGTGTGTGTTTGTTAGGGGGGATTACTCCTTTTATTTTTATTGTTGGGATCGCTTGGAGTTTTATGCTTGTCAAATTTTTTTTATAGGAATTACAAAAAAAAAGGGAAAAAAATAAAAAAAACTTTTTGAAAAAAAAAAAAACGACATCAAATAAACACAAATCAAACCCAAAAAAAAGAAAAACCTAAAAAGTGAAAAAAATTTTAGTTTCGAAGCCGGTGACAAAAATCCCAAATAAATCAAAAAAAGGTAAGTTTTCAGAAGCCGGTGACAAAAACCCCACATCAACAAAAAAAGGTCAACTTCGAAGTCGAGGTTTGGGCTTGGGTTTTCCCCTTTTAGACTCAGAGTGGCCCTTTTACGTCGAGGATTGGTTGACTGGGAGCCACCCAAGCCCCTTCCCAGAACGCAAAAAGCCTCCTGGGGCGTTCCAGGTTTTTCTGGACGACTTTATATCAGAATATACTTCCCCCTTGTGTGGCCACTCCCTCGCATTCCGGGACTACGGGCGGCCGTTTCTTCAGCTTCCAACTTTCCCCTGCAGGGGGACTGTCCTTCCATTGATTAAAAATAGTTGTGGGGTTCAGGGCTAGATTCCTGTAATTTCCCGAAAAACCATTCTGATTTCCGGGTCGCTAAACTGATCATCTGAAAGGGGAGTCGTGGTGGACTTGTTCAGCCCCGTTTGGACTGCTGCACCCTGTCTGTCTGGAGGGTACCCCATTGAATATAGGGGGCTGTTCCAGTGCTTGGCATTCGAAGAAAATACCAGAGGTCATTGTGTTGCCCCCCAAATGCCTTTAAGACGGCCATCCTGTCGGATTTTATTGGATGTTGTGTCCTTGTACCCTTGACATGGCCGGTGGCAGCGAAAGTTTTGCCAACCCTTTCACATTGAAATATGGAAATGGTTGGCCTAACGCTATAATGTTTATATTTAGGTTTTGGGGAAAAACTCCGGCCCCCGTTCTGACCTATTTCTTGGGAAAACCGTCCGTGAAAATTGGGACTTCTTTAAATGCTGGATTGATCTGGGTTTTTCCATGTATCGGGAAATGTGTTTTCTTGTAAGATATGGTTTTTTGGGGTTTCTACGCAGGGAGCTGCTATTATGGTTCGATTCCCCCAAATTGACCCCAAAATTTTGGAGTGCGACCCCTCACTTTTGTGCCATAACCCAGGTGTTTGATCAAATGATCGCCAGGGGCCTCCTGCTGTTAATAGACCCGGGGTGGCAGACCAAGAACCACCTCCATGCGGAGTGGGCGTTGTGCGCATACAGCCGTGACCGGGGAGCATGGGAGTCGCTGGAATTGCTGCAGTTTGTTTATGACAGGGGGTTAGCTCTGTTCTCTGCCCCAACAACAGCACCGTAATGATTAAAGGTCTTATGATGTCCTGTATACCCTAAAGTAATTTTTGGGATAGTCCCCAGCTTTTGCCGAGTAGCCGCTTGCATTGGCAAAAATATGCAGGCTTTATTCAGTTTTTCACGAGGTTTTTATTCCCCAGGATTTACGTCCGTATTTTCTCCCAGGTATTTGACCTCTTGGTAAAAGGGAAGTTGTGTTCCAAATAGCTTGGAAATTGAGATTTTAGGTGGGGTTTGTTTGTGAACATGACATTTTGTTTTTGGGTGGGTTCACTGTCAAGTTGTTCTACGCACCATTGTTCCCGATCTTCAGGGAAGCCCTTTTATGCATGTAAAGCCCCAAAAGGACCCGATGGAAAAAAGTAAGATCGTCTGCATAGCCTATTTTGAGGAAACTTTTGGTCATTTGCTTTCGATAGCTCATCCACAAAAAATGTTCCATAAAGGGGGGAGAGTACACCGCCCTGGGGGCATTGTGGGAAACAACCCATGCCCAGACAGAGCTTGGCTAATGCTGGTGAAGTTGGGGTTTTAAAGGCTCCCGATACTAAAGGTGGCCAGTTTGACCTTTTATGATTTGATTGTCTTCTATATATAAACAACTCGATGTAGGGGGAGATTTGTTTATTACCCCTCGATATACTGTTTTTTGAGGTGTAGAGGGGGATGACTAACGCAGTTTTTCCCCCGATTTCCCTACTTTACCTCTCGGAACCCTTTTGTAGGAAAGATTGAGACTAATAGGTCGGTGGATTTGGGGTTTTGGTATCACCTTTACAAGGTTTGGGATGAAGATACTTTTTCTTCTCTCCATTTAAGGGAGTACTGATGCCTAGGCAGCCCCTATAAATTTTTACAAGATGGTCCCTGTGTCATATCACACCCTCTCAGTAGGCCGGGGGGACCCATCTAGTCCTGGCGCTTTAATGGGAGGAAGCTGATAAATTCCCCTCTTGTTTGTCATGTTGCAACTTTGCGGGCGTTCCCAGCTTTCTTGGTGTTTTGCCCCTCGCTTCCCATTTTTCCCTCACACTGATAGGGGACTCCGGGAAGTGTGATTTTAAAAAAGCTCTGAGGCTTCCGACCTGTTTTGGGATACTCACCATCAGGCTTTTTTCGTGAGCCAAGATTTTGTTCGCCTCTATACACTATGTTTTTGACTCTATTAGCCTGGTTGTTGTTCTCTATTTAGTACAGAATTTCTCCAGCACTCAGTTTTCCCGGTTCTGATTCTCTTTTTATATTGTTGTACGGCCTCGTGTAGGCATCCCAAAGTTTGGTTAATCGCGGGTTTTTGCTTTTTTTGAACAAATTTCTCACTTTTCGACTAGTTTTCCAGTTCCGGACCCCACATTGGTGTTCGTTCTGTGGGCCAGTTTGGGGGTGGAAATGGGCAGTTTTTTTCAAAGCAATGATCAGTGTCTGTGTAAGGTTTCAACTACTGTCAAAGTCCTTAAAAGTCCCCGTACGTTATTGGGTTGATGCTTCGCAGTTTCTCCGCATAAATTTCATACCGTTTCCCGGGCCATCTGCCCGGGGGTTTAGTTTAAATTTTTTTCAAAGTTAAATTTATCCCTTTGTTTAAAAAAGCCATTCGATATGTGTTTTCGATGCGTGCTCACTTGCTAATGTAAAATCAAATTTTAGTTTGGGCCCTGGATGTATAAAAAGTCGGCTCCACCCACGTTGATAATGTTAAAGGTTTGTTGATAATAGGAACGTTCGAAGTCGGTGACAAAAGCACTAAATCTTCAAACAAGGTTCCTTTTATGAGCGGCAAAACTTTAAAAACCCGAAGAGAAAATGTGGGGCCCTTAAACATATCACGTGACCAAACCCGGGCTGACAGTACTGCTTTTGAAAGATTTATAATTGAAGGAACCGAGACCAACCGGTCTGAGCAGTACTGCTTCTGATAGATTTATAATTGAAAAGGGGACCCAGATTCGTTAGTTCAAATAATTTTTTCGCTGGACCCCCTACCCTTTTTTACAAGAAAAATTATCCAAATTTTGGAATAGATAAGAAAAACGCGATTGAATTGTTTTTATTATGATTTTTTATTGATTGTATTTTATATGATTGAATATTTGAAATAAATAAATATAATTTTTTGGTATTGATTTTTTTTTGATTCGTGTTCAGTACATGGGATAGTACCTCCTACTAACTTTCTATTTAGGTATTTTTCTTTTAAACAAAAAATTTCGTAATTTGTAAAACGCAGTCATAGTTTGAATACAGTTGTTTCATCTGATTATTATACGTATACTACAGAAGATACGCGTCGAGCGAGCGCGTAGGTACACGCGCGATCGTTTTCGATGTGAGGGAGCTGGCAGGGGGCGCGGGTGAATTCTTAAATTTTGCTGGCTTTATACGCGCTCTTAAGTGGCTTCTCATGACGACCTAGGGTCGCACGGCTGTATAACATTCGACCTCAACTTTAAAGGTCGCGTATTTAATTCTCGCTAAGGGCAAATTTTTGTGTGCATG